CCGGTTTCAAAAATTATCGGTTTCACTCTCCCAAAACGCCGGATCCGTCTGGACGAAACGCCTATACGATACAAAATTTATGCGTATACAGCTAAATGCGTCTCCGTGTGGACGGGGCCTGATTATGTACATACCGTATTGTCCCGAATATAAGACGATGTTTTTTTCTTGGAAATACATCTGAAAAAACGCGGTTGTCTTATATTCAGGGTCTAGACTTTGCCATGTCAATAATACACCCACAACAATAGGTGGCGCCAAATACGCATAAAACGAGTGTGCCATGAAATACGTAATGTAATGCGTGTTGTAAAGATCGCGAGTAAAAACAAAAGAAAAAAAAACCTTACAGCTTCATGAGTCGTGACTGTCACGTTAGCCTGATGGGACCAACTCTACTTCTACTGTTAATAAGATTTTGGTAGGCTGGTATTAGATGGATAGCCTAAATGTCCTAATTCAGATGGGCTACCTGTTTTTTTTTTTAAATGGTATATCAAAAAGTGTTTATTTTTTAAATGTGATTGTTGGTACATTTTACCAGTTTTTACCATACTTTCAAAACAAAAATTAAAATAGGAAAAATATGCAATATGAAAATAATTGAAGACAAAATGTGTTTTACTGAGAAAAAACAAGATTTGTTTTTTAAAAAGCCTTTTTCCAAAAGGTACATCTGGAAAAAGAGGGGGTCGTCTTATAATCAGGGTCGTCTTATATTCGGGCCAATACGGTAATCAATTCAATGTGACAATTTACTTACCCAGAAATTTGTTCTGCACATTCAATGCAACAGCTAACACAGGAATGCTTAGACAAACGATTTACACAGAAATTGGCAATGTTCAGAGCCAGTTCAGAGAAAATGTATATAAGAATTGTTTACGACCGTAATTCATTGCGAAAACTTACATAAGAATGGTTTTACTAATAATTTACATAGACATCCGTTCTGCTCGCATTTCTGCTCATTAATAAAGCCACTGAAAAAACTGCATCCTCCTGGCAGCTTTGGTGAACTATTTTCAACGGACTATGATTTGGGACACACTAATCTTAATCTGACTTATTATTTAGGACAGATAGTGCGTGAATTGGGGCGCGGGGTCTATCTATCACACTCATTAGCTGTGACCTAAAGAAGCAGGTGCAAATAAACAGGTCGACACGGGTGTGGACCAGTTTCCGCACTTAAAACAGAAAATTTATTTCTTCTTTGTAAAACTTTTAGAACCTTAAATGCAAAAATACATGTTTTTGCAAATGTTTTACCCAATTTTCAAAATGAATTTCCACATAAAAATACTTAAATCTCTGTATTAAACATTAACAAAAATGTATAAGTTTAAAAAAAAATACGTTTTTAAATTATGGCTTATGAATTTTTACTTTGGCTTTCCCAAACTTTGTTGATTCTATGCACATTATTAACTTTTTTCATGTGTGCAAGATTATGAGTTTGCAGCTAATTTATTGACATTCAAACACCGATTCAATTGTGCAAACAGCCATAAATCACAATACAAGATTTAATATGATCCATCTATAAGCCTCTATAAAACACTGTCAAAACTCATCCCCGCCAACTCTTTATCATGAGATTACAAGACGTCTCCTCATTCCTCTCTTTCTTGTTCTCTCTTGCTTTACCTTGTTCTATATCCTATGTCCTACATCGCCCCCTCTTTCCTCTCAATTTCTCCCGTCTGCAGCTCATTTTGAAATCAATGATTTCAGAACTTCATTTCCTCGCATTTCCTAACGCCTGAAGGGCTGTTCTCACTCTGGGCCCATTTTCTCTCTCCATCTCTCTCGCTCGCTCTCTTTCTCTCAGTTGTCGGGAGTCTGCTGGACTTCGGGTGATGGTTGGGTCTAGTCGCCAGCATACTGCTGGCCCCAATAGCAGCGGGCCCTATCTTTAGCTGTTCAGTCACAAATGCTGCTCGGAAGCACCCGGAGCACTGCCGCTTTGTGGCCAACCAACTCAATTCCATAGCACTGAAACATCGGCTCCGTTCCAAACCCTAGCGAGCTGCCTAGCAAGACAGCAACGTGCAACAATCTTCAGTAGGCAGCAAAATTACATTGCTTTACCAGATGTCTCATTTGGGCACAAATTTAAACAAGCATTACTTGCATCATTTGCAGAAAAGCCAATCCCAAATGCATTGTAATGAATCCAAAATGACGAGGGAAATATAGTTTGTGTTGTCTAAACACAATTCCAACTGCAACATTGTAAACAAACAATTTTTCATTAGTAGAGCAAAATTAAAAGTAGCTGGTAGGGATGGGCCAGAATTGTTGAGCTAGTATATTGAAGCTGAAGTCCAATAACAGGTTTAAGGCAAGAAGTCTGAGCACTGAAACATACACAATTTAGATTGTTCAATAAACTCTAATAAACGCTAATTGTTATCATCATTATTTCATCTCCTGCTCCTCTCTGGATTTCTCAGTCAATTTCTTGGCTGACAGAAGACTGTTAATACAGTTTTGGGTTCCACAGAAGACATGCTGTTAACATGTTTTGTGTATAAGATAAATCTACTGACTAGTTGTTCGGACACCAGACAAAACAGATATTTTCTGACAGGATATGGCATCCGGGGCTGAATCTAATATTTCCAGCATGGACACTTGATCTAACTTTTTTTTTTGCTTGATTTTATACAAATTTCTTAATTCTTAAAAACAAAATTATTATTATTATTACTATTACTATTATTATTATCATCATCATCGTCGTCGTCGTCGTCGTTATTAATTATTATTTTTTAATTTATTATTATTATTATTATTGTTGTTGTTGTTTATTTTATTTATTTATTTAGGCTATTGACAGTGTTTTCTTTATAAAATGATGAAAAGAGATATCCAAAATCCCATCTGTAAAAACCTTTAACTTGCCAACAAAATAAAACAAGAATTTTGAACCTGGCTTTATCCAATGTAAAATTTTGTTCTGGAAATGTATGCAAATGAGTGCATATTCAATTAAATATCTCTTCATTTGCATTTTTTAAGAAAACTTGTAATACAAAAAAATGCAATACTTAAGGGGGGCGGTACAATGCTGTTTCATGCATTCAGAGTTGTTTACACTGTTAAAGGAGACATATTATGCCCCTTTTTACAATATGTAATATAAGTCTCTGGTGTCCCCAGAATGTGTCTGTGAAATTCCAGCTCAAAATACTCCACAGATCATTTATTACATCATTTTGAAAATGCCTATTTTGAGTGGAAGCAGAAACACGCTGTTTTTCGGGCCTGTCTCTTTAAATGCAAATGAGCTGCTGCTCCCCGCCCCCTTTTCCAGAATAGAGCTGCGCCATTACAGCTCGGACCTGCTAAAAAACATCATGTTTATCGCGCTGAAATCATGCGTTTTGACCCATATGAGTTTAAACTTCTGATATACGGTTTTCTGAGAGCACACGGAGAGAAAGCGGCTGTCACAGCATGCGAGTACTAAACTAAGTTCTCATTCACACACAAGTTTACGTTAAAAACACACATGAGTTACAAAAACAGTCGGTTATGTCTGTGAAGGTAAACAGCTGGGAAATAAATCGCATGTTTAATTTAGATCTGTGTGGCAGCAGAAATATACATTAAATAAATCAATAAATCCACTGCTGTGTACTGAGATGGTACACTGTTGTCGCTTGCGGCAATTTGGACGTATGACGGAGTATTTCTGTGCCAAAAATCTTACTTCCGGGTTCGTACAAGTTTCTGAGAGTTCTTTTCGATCGATGCTCTTCATGACTTAAACGAGGGTGGAACTCCTTATATGAACATTTCTCCCGGAAAAACGCGCCCGCGCACGCATCAACCAGAGCAAGAGCGAGACCCTAACCCATCAACACGCTTCATTCAGCAGCGCTGCACGGGACGGTCATGATTCAGAACTGCAGACAGTAAGTGAAACTGCATCAAATATGATAAAACTAAAGACTTTTTAAAGATATGAAGGATGCAGTACTACTCTATAGGTACTCAAGATTAACATGAGATTGGGTGAAACTGTGTGTGTTATGTCTCCTTTAATGTAATCAGTCAACTGTGCAAGTGTGGTGATATCTACAGGTTACATTTATATACCCTATTTACCTGTGGTGCCTTGCTTTAATACTTTTGCAGTGGTGCTTTTAAAAGGTGACGCCACTTCTTAAAGAGAGCACAAAGAGACGCAACTTCTCAGCGAGTGTTTTAGTGGGAAAACTCTCATCTGCTTTAAAGCATCGCCACCATCAAAGTAGCATTTGTGCAGTTAGGATGCATTAGAAGGTCGCTGACGAAATAGGAAGCATTCAGCAAACTAGAATTAAGAGCAGTCATTTTGAGTCTCCTGTGTGTGTGTCTGCATGGCATTGTAGAACCTTAGCTAATCTCACTCGAACACCAATTTATGATAAGAAATTCTGAGTGTCTCCCAGTGAAAGACCTCAGGCAGTGTTCATATGCTACTTTTAGTCAAAATTACTAAAGTACTTTACTTACCAAACACATGACTCATTTCTGAAGCTTAATAAACACTCATTTTTCAGCTATAATTGTCACATGCGCCTGCGTATTCAACCTATAAAAGACTCAAACCAACACAACAAAAAGCACTTCAAGATCTTCAATACCGTGGTGCATATGTCCAAAAAACATGGTAGTACACCACAGCATTTTTTATGTAAATGTGTAAATGTGATGCTCCATTCATCCCTGAAAGCTCTACGAGCATCTTATGTGTCACTGTGTCATGTACTGTGGATTTGAAGAGGGAGCAGATTGGAGGAAGACAAACTCATTACCTGCTTAGTTAAGCAGGCTAATAGAGAACAGTGGGCATTGATAATATTTTTTTAGAAATCCAATTTTTTTTTTATTAAAAGAGACAGTGGATCGATTCCCCTTTTTAATGCAACAGATAAGAGTTTTACACCACGATTATCAATGGCTCGACTTCCTGCTGGGAGAGAGCGATTGTTAGCGCTGCTCACCTCCAGTGCTTTGCGTTTCCTGTTGAGCAGTTTGGCGATGTCTCCTGATACCTTCTCCACCAGCTGTTTGGGCGTACTTCGCTCCACAGCAAACTGATTTCTCTTCTCATTATAAATCTGTGGGAGGGCAAAGGTCAAAGGTCAGGCACACAGTAATTTCCTTTGTGATCAATTACATTAAAAATGACAGACTTTTGCAACTCAAAACAAAAATCTTTATATTTTACATATTAAAGTCAATATTTAGAAATCTAATCATTTATATATTTTCAAAAAAAAAAAAAAATAGAATAATAAAAGAGTTTATTTTTTGTCAAAGATAGATAGATAGATAGATAGATAGATAGATTTTTAAGTGATGTCTCAAACTAAATCATTAAATCACTGAAACAGCCCATTTGAAATCATTTATCACCATTTTAATGAGCTTTAAAAAATATTTCTTAGTTAATATGTTCCAGTAAGTTGAGTAACCATGAAACTAGTGTACTGGTATATTCTAAGAAACTTAATCGTCAAGTAAAATCATTACACTATTCATTACGTTGATTAATTTCATAACTGTTTACCTTATCATTTTATATATATTGAAATATGTATTTTATTATTAAAGCAATTAGATATTAATATTTATATAAAATGTAAACATACATTATTTAATATTATAAATAAACATTAAAATATAAGAATGTATAAGTAACATTTTACCATATATAAATGTTTGATTTTCTGGCCTGATAAAATGTGATAAATATCTCGTTCGATGTGGGATGCGTGTCAGGCATTTCAAACACACACTATCACTCAAACACGCCTTTGCGAACATCTCATTATAAGTGAAACGTTTCATTTCTGCACAACTAGCAGCACCATATGGTAATGGCATTGGAACAAATTTGACAAGTCATATATATATATATATATATTAAGTACTAAAACGGCATACATACATTAAACACAGTGCAAGCAATTTTAATGCAATGACTCATCCTCCAATCTTCCAGTTGCCAAATAATACATTTAATATTCCAACATAATTTAAAATAATCCAAAATCATTTTTATTATGCTGTACAGTTATACACTAAATAGTAAAACCTCAAAGCTAACAGATGTGAACTAGAAGAAGTGCAAGTCATGCCACAATCTGATGTGGACTTATGGGTCAGCATTGTTCCTCATGTCAGCGCTTTTCCCAGTGATTTACACACAGCAGGTCTGGTCTTACAGCCTGACTCAGCACACCGCCATGCCGTCCACCGTAATCTGACCCCCTGGGACGCCCAGTTATCCCCTCCACCCCAGGGACTCCATTACCCACAAATCCATCTATGTCAAACTGAGGACTAGGCAAAAAGCCAATAGTAATCTCCCTAGAAAGAGGGATCCGTTCACACACACACACACACACATACACACACACACACACACACACATACACAACTGGTGGATGCTTTAGTAAGGGCTTCGGCCTCTAACACCATGTTTGAAGCTGTGTGTTCCCCTGTTACCAGATAATGGCTAAACCACAAGCACTGTTTTATGTCAACTTGAGTGAATTGGGACAGAATTAGCGGCCATTGCATGGAATGGGCTGGCGACTAGAGAGGGAAGGGACATTAACGTAACCTAGTTTTAAAACTGTGATACTTGTTATTTTTGGAATACAATTATAAAGCCCTTGAAAAAGTCATTAGCGTGTTTGATATAAAATACACACAGTGTTATGCCAGATACTGATCTCATAAAACAAGAACACAGTTCCCATTTAAACTCAGTAAATTAATTAATTAAAGATGTTCATATTTTTCTGTCTGTCTTAGGATGTGATGAACATAATGTGTTCTAATATATGCATTTCTGTCTGAACACAAATACTGCCCCCTTAATGCCAGGAAGGTCAATAACAGCAAAAAACATTCTTAAAATGTTTTAAATCTTAAAAATAAGATTATTTTCATCAAACATTTAGAAGCACCTAGACCAGAAAATGTTAGACAAATAAAAAAATACTGAATATACTGAACAATTGGATATATTGGTTCTGTCTGAACACAAATACTGCCCCCTTAATGCCAGGAAGGTCAATAACAGCAAAAAACATTCTTAAAATGTTTTAAATCTTAAAAATAAGATTATTTTCATCAAACATTTAGAAGCACCTAGACCAGAAAATGTTAGACAAATTAAAAAATACTGAACAATTGGATATATTGGATGTATGTTGGACACATTTATGCTTTTCCTTCACTACCTCATCCAACTCATCTAAATAAATAAATAGATAAACAAATAAATAAATAAATGCTTTTAGGCTGGAGTTAAAATTATTTATGTAATATAAATACCATGCATATTTATATTGCAAAATAATTAATACCTAGCATATCAAACATTTGTACATTATTTATACATTTTTTATTGTAATTAAATGCTGAAAAAAACATGCAGTTGAAATTATATTTATATAACCTTTACATTGTTTTATAAGGTAATGCAAAGTGGCTAGAACCAATAAATAATCTTTCTTATTTTTAATTTTTGGATTTTTAATGCCCTCAATATGGAAAAGAAAAACAATATTTAGATACAGCCAATGCTAAACCGCCTTTATTGAGAGGCTATTATTAACAAAACAGGTTTAAATTTAATCTGTATTTGTATTCAGTAAAGTGTGAAATGCTGGAGTGACTCATGAACTTTAGCTTTCAGGAGAAGAAATTAGGTCAAAATGTGGAGAAAATAATATACTTTAGAATGTGTGTGTGTGTGTGTTTGTGTATGTGTGTGTGTGTGTGTGTTGAGATGGAGGAAGCAGGATATACACACACACACACACTATATAATTATATTTAAACACACACACACACATATATATATATATTTAATAAATATAATACATTATAATAATGCAACAATTTAGTATACATTTTATGTATATATGTTCCCAACAGTGAAGCATGGTGGTGGCAGCATCATGCTGTGGGGGTGTTTTTCAGCTGCAGGGACAGGACGACTGGTTGCAATCGAGGGAAAGATGAATGCGGCCAAGTACAGGGATATCCTGGGCGAAAACCTTCTCCAGAGTGCTCAGGACCTCAGACTGGAACTAAGGTTTACCTTCCAACAAGACAATGACCCTAAGCACACAGCTAAAATAACGAAGGAGTGGCTTCACAACAACTCTGTGACTGTTCTTGAATGGCCCAGCCAGAGCCCTGACTTAAACCCAATTGAGCATCTCTGGAGAGACCTAAAAATGGCTGTCCACCAACGTTTACCATCCAACCTGATAGAACTGGAGAGGATCTGCAAGGAGGAATGGCAGAGGATCCCCAAATCCATGTGTGAAAAACTTGTTGCATCTTTCCCAAAGACTCATGGCTGTATTAGATCAAGAGGGTGCTTCTACTAAATACTGAGCATTTTTCAGTTTTTCTTTTTTAATAAATCTGCAAAGATGTCAACAATTCTGTGTTTTTCTGTCAATATGGGGTGCTGTGTGTACATTAATGAGGAAAAAAAATTAACTTAAATGATTTTAGCAAATGGCTGCAATATAACAAAGAGTGAAAAATTTAAGGGGGTCTGAATACTTTCCGTACCCACTGTATATATATTCTTAATATTTATTATAGTCATTTTATTATAGTCATTAAATATATTTAATAGTAATTTTTGTGGATTTACATGAAATAAATTAATTTACTTAGAAATACTTTATTTTTTAATTGGCTTACTCACATATTTGATTTATGTTCTTATTGATATGGATGGATGGATGAATGGATGGATGGATGCTGCTAAACATCTCCTTTAGTGTCCTGCTAAGAGAGTCATACCGGACTGGGAAGCCATGAGGGTGAGTAAATGATGATAACCTAAAACAGCTCTCTCGGTAAACACTTCAACACACGCGCCCGTACCTGTAATTACACTCCAGCAGATTTACTTTCCCTCCCTGACAGCCAGCTTCCTTTCCAAACACCAGAGACAAAGCAGCAAAAGAGTTTCAATTTGACCTTGTGTCTTATTTTTTTTCTTCGCAAAAAGATTTGTTTGAGGTTTTCTCTCTTTTTTTTTTACGCGACTTGCTCGCGTCGGAGAGAAAAACGGCTCCGCTTATCAGCCCATGAAGGCGGGCTGTTGACAGAGACAGATGCTGCGTCATTAAGGAATAATAGTGGACTCCGCCAAGCAGACAGCGCACGAATCCCGCCAGGCAGAGGAACAGTTCAATAAAACAGAGCGAGAGTGAGAGAGACGGCAAAACTCTGAGTCAGACAATGCTAAAAGGAAGCAGTCAATGGAAGAAAAAGATATGGCCTCCAGAGATTCGAACGGAGAGATTCGATACAGATGTGGCGAGACGGAAAGGACTAAGGGACTTGAGTGACAAGAAACATACATAATGTGAGCGCTATTCCCGCAGAGGCTGGAGACAACAGACTAATAGAAAAGGAGGTCTATAGATCAAGCAGGATAAGAGCGGGCGAGGAACTCGAGCTCGGGAGAAAGAGAGATGGACGTTTGTTGTGAGAAGACAGTCATGGCTGCTGTTTTTATCAGCACACCATGTTGTGTTTTGAATGCTGGTGTCATAAAGTCAACATAAAATGCCATTCCAAACCAATTTACTTCCACAAAAGGACATTCAACGGGACTTTTCTCTGTCAGGAACTAGATGGTCTCTATATGACAGGTGGTTGAAGGGGAGGAGCTAAAAATAAGAGGTCTAGATGACATCAGCTGAAGGAAAGGAGCAAGTTTGATGAAAGATTACAGACGCACATTGAGGAATGAATATATACTGTAAATGTGTGTGTGTGTGTGTGTGTGTGTGTGTGTGTGCGTGTGTGCGTAGTAAAAAGTAGTTGTAAAAATGTCTTAAGTTAAAGTATTGTTATGGATTTTCATATTTTAAATACTGACTCTGAGTCGAGAGTAAAACAATAAAATCTAAATGGTTTTGTTTTAAAAAATTTCAAAAGAGAGAGATAAAAAACATTCAAGAATATAAGAACGGATATAAGAGATGGGGACGCCACACGCTTATCAGTGAAGAAAAAAAGAGCCTCTATCTCTACATCCTCATCTCTTTAAGACAGATACGAACGT